TATATATGTAACAAGCTGGGATTATATGACATATATTCTCCAGCTTGAGGGGGAGTGTTAGAGTTAGCCGAATAAGGGTAGATTAGTCAACTCACCTTTGTTAAGTTATGTGCTTATGTGGCAGTCTTATTAGAGACTCTCTGTCCCATACTTAAGTGGGGGCAGTTTGGTCTTTGTACAATTAATTAGAGCCTAATCACTATTAAGAGGTCGATTGATAGGGTTTAGTCTATCAGGTTTGACAGTTCTTTCATCATCTTCTTCTTCTTCTCTTCTTCTTCTTCTCCTTATTGGTTCGGACTACTGTAGCAGCAGTCGAAACAATTTGTTTTCAAACTAATCCCATATGTTGATTGAGGTGGAAGTGATTCCCAATCAAATATAGCCTTTCCATGGTTGCAAACTTGCGATCACTTCAATCCATAACTTGTTCTGCTATTTGTTATATTGTCATAATCACTTTCCCGGGAGCACTGTGTCTATGGTTCTATGATGCCTCAAATCATGCACATCCAAGAGCTTACCACAAGGTGGTAATTTTTCACTGTTCGGGCTTATTCCACAGGGTTGTTTATTTTTCTCTCTTGGCCAAGTTGATCAATCCCATTGGACATGATCACAAGCTTTTACCATATCTAACTTATAGCTGATTCTTAGAACTCCTCTTTTACCGGAGTCTATATATTTGTTTGCAAGGAGGAGCCATCCAGGATTTGTGTACCATTCATGATTCATGGAAGTTCCTTGAGAAGAGGATATGATGGGGGCCAAGATCTCCTTGGGCAATTACCAAGAACCTTGGGCTGCAGCTTATAGATGGTTTTTACAAGTCTGATTAGTTTATAATCCTTAATCTTTTTTCTATCTTTTTCCTTGATCAATAACCATGCATTTGTATTGATCTCGAAGATTGATATAGAGAAGACAGTACAAAGAATTTACAGATTTTAGTTCAATACCTAAACTTGATGACCACACAAAAGACTGCTCTTGTTAACCCCCATTCTTGCAAGTCCATCTGCTATTGTATTTTCTGATCCAGGTATCCAACAATCCATCTGAATGAGCATTTCAGGTTCTGAATACCAGGCCTTTAGCTTCTCTTGTTTTCTGCCTCAACAACCAAGGACCTTTTTCATTTTCCAGCCAGCTACTGATTACCTTGCAGTCACCTTCCACAATCAGATTGGCCCATCCCAAGGAATATAGCCCCAGTTATAGTTCTTGGATGAGAGCTGGAATCTCCTCTCTTAAGGATTTCTTTTCCCCCAGTGGGCCCATGAAGCTCATCTTAACGGTGCCATGGTGGTCTCTAATTATACCCCCTATACCTGACAGTGCCATGCTGCCAAGACATAGCTCCTTGCTTTGATTGGTTGTTCTGAAGGGGGTGTAGGCAGGGGTGATCATGGGCTGGGCCCATACCAGTCTTAGCACCTATGATGATGGGTATAGCTCAGGCCTGGCCTGCACCATAGTTGTCAAGGTGATGCCTAGGGGACAAGGTGCCCTTGGAGGCTCACCTCGCATAATCACCAAGCAGTTTTGTACATTGTATTATAAAATATTTTCATATTCTTATTTTTTTAAAATTGTAATTATAAAATAGACATTATTAAACTAAAATATTCATTTTGTGTGTTCATATACTAATTTCTTTTTATTATTTTCTTATTTGTTAGGGTTTAATCAACACATTATATTTTATTATGAAAATTACGGATAGTTATTAAAGAAATATGGTTGTGGAACCTAGAAACTACCCTAGGATAATGTTTTTCACTTAAAAAAGTCCATCGCGTAGGTGACTAGACAACAAGGCAGCCCCCCTGTCACCTAGCCACGCCTTGGTGCCTTGAAAACTATGGCCTGCACCTTCAGCCTGACATATAAGTATTTGTTGGGTTTATGGCCTACAAACATTAAGGGTGCGTTTGGTTCTTTGATTGATTCCAATTCTGGCTCCAAATGAACCAAACAGAAATGTGGGAAGAACTAAAGGAAAACCCCAATCTGATGGAAAAATGAGAGTTTATAATAGGAAAAGAATGTATAGAACAAAACCGTTGACAGAGTCTGTATTTGAAAGGATTCAAGATGGTGATATTTCCTCTGATGAGGAGAGAAGACTAAGCGAGGAGGATGAGAAAGAAGTTTGTTTAGATGAGACTTGTCAAATTGACAAATCTATTGACATGACTAAGGTTGTAGACAAGGCTGTGGAAGTAAGTAAAGCTCTAGACTTGCTTGTCTTGGGAGGTTACAAGGAAAATGTTCCAAGATTTGGAAGAATGCCTGAAAGGAGAATACTGGAGATTTTCAAGTGCCTATGCCGCCAATTGATGAAGGCCATAATAACTTAACCATAACTAGTTTGGAAGAGGATGGTAGTGAAAAAACTGCAGCTTTTATTCATCAAAAAAAAAAAAAAAAAAACTGCAGCTTTAGTTGATGCCCAATTATTTTAGAGAAACACAGTACTGGAATTGGAAAGGACTAATGAGAACCCCTCTTGCTTGTTGGATTCCCAGAAGTGTGTTTTAGCAAATAGAAGATTTGAAAGACAGAAAACATCAAGATCTTCTGGTCTCAAAGGTTTTTGGTAGCTTAAATGAGGCTTGGCAAGGTTGGTCTTTCAGAGGTTTTCTTGGCAAGGTTTTTGGTAGACAGAAAACCTCTAGAAGTTTTTAGTGGTAGACTTAATGAGGCTTGGCAAGGTTGGTCTCAAGGAAAACCTCTTGGGTTTTGTGATTTTGAGGCTTGGCAAGGTTGGTCGCTTTCTTGTGAGTGCAAGTTTGTTTTTCTTTTCTCTCTTGAGTGACTTCTGGTCACTCCCCTTCTATACTCTCTTTTTTTTTGCTTTAATAAATTTTATTTTTGTTACCAAAAAAAAAAGAACCAGACAGCAATTATTGGAATTCAACTTCAATTTCCATCTTAACCAAACAAGCATTGGGAATGGATGATTCTGATTCCAATTCCGCTCTTGATTGCAAACCAAACAGACTCTAAGTATATTATATTTAATATATAATATTTTGTATTATATGACACATACATACAAGCTGGATTGGGCTAGGAATAATAAACCCTAGTGAAGGTAGGAGTGATTCTTTTGCTTTCATTTTGTCTCAGTGATATCTTATCACTATGTATCTCTCTCCTGGATTTCTTTTTAATGGTTTTATTTTTATTTTTATTTTACTATTAAAATTAAAATACACTGTTTGGAACTTTGGATGATATCCATATACATGTAAGTTTAAAATATTACATCAATATAACTGACAATAAAATTTGTTGAAAACAATATAAAAACATTAAAGTACTAGTATTGAGATATTCTTATTATTAATATTTCAAAATGGGCATATTTCTACTTCTTAAACACACAACAATTTTCCAACATCTCTTAAAAGAAGGCCATAGGAAATCCAGATGGTCTCAGTGCTTCAACTTCTTCCAGTACCTGCAAGACTCCATCGTCATTAAATAGGTAAGGGTGTCAATGGACCGGTTTTGGATTGGACCCCGTCCAGTCCAAAATCAATTTGGACGGATTGGATGGACCAACAAGACAATATTGGATTGGACCAATCCTGTCCAAATATTTATTAGATTGGATTGGACCTGGTCCATCCATAATAAATTTATATTGGATTGGGTTGGATTAAACCAATATCTGGTCCATTGAAATAAGATAAGAATATAGGTATCATTGAACCGGGTTTGGATTGAAACCAATCTGAATTGAAATGAATTTGAACAGATTGGACGGTCCAAACATTGAATTGGACCGGTCCAAAATATTCATTGGATTGGATTGGACCTGGTCCATTTATAATGGATTCACATTGGACTGGATCGGATTGGACCAAATCCAGTCCAATTGACACCCCTATAAATAGGGCCTCAAGACAATTGCTTTCCAACCCTGAGATGCAATCAAATTTGATACAATCTTGCCTAGGCTGGAGGTAAGATTGATTTAAGCATAGATTTCTATATAAATCAACAATGACTGTTCTTACCTCATTTTCTTATGCAATGAGATGACCATTGATTTATTGCTTTGCGATAGTGTTGGAATGTTGCTTAGCAGGATGAGTGATGAAAGAAATTTGTGTTTTTATTCTAACCATAGGATCTTGGATTTCTGCCTCCAAGAAACTTCCTCCATGTGAGCTAAGCACCTATTTTCATCCTTTACCATTATTCTTGTTGCTCTACCAGCCTTCCTGATTGGGGCGTGCCTCTCTCATGTGATCCATATCTTTTATTTTAGCCAACATCCTCCACTTTTTTCTGCTATTGTTCCTCATTGATTTTTACTCCACCTTTTTAATTGTGCTGTCCTTGTCATAAAAGATTATTTTTGCCATTGCCTGATGCAAGAACTTTGCACTAATAACCATATTATTGAATTGATATATAAATCTATATCTGTCTTGCTCCAGTAGGTACCTCAAACTGTAATAAAGACATACATTTTTACAAAGTCTTGTATATACATGTATGATCATAGTTTCATGCATGCACCAATATCTGTTTAAGATGCCTTATTTTAATAAATGGATTTTCTTGAACTATATGGGTTGAATTTATGGTTGCATGGATAGCATGATMCCTGCCATTATTGGACATAATATGCTTCCTTTCCGAGTCCATTCCATCTTCTGAATTTACCTTGACCAAAGTTGACAGCTATATCATTGAAGGTCGTGTATGTTATTTGACGATGTGTGATCGTGCTTATCCAAAAAAACTTGCTTTTCAATACCTAGAAGATCTAAAAAATGAATTTGAGAGAGTCAATGGGAATCAAATTGAAACTGCTGCGAGACCTTATGCCTTCATTAAATTTGGTATGGCTTCTATCAATTTTGTCACATGCTCTTTTCCCATCAAAGTTCCATTGGTGCCATATTAATCTCTAGATTTCTCTGTCTTCTATTTCTTTTTGAAAGATACATTCATACAGAAAACCAAGAAATTGTATTTGGATACCCGCACTCAGAGGAACCTGGCTAAGTTGAATGATGAACTTTATGAAGTCCACCAAATAATGACTCGCAATGTACAAGAAGTCCTTGGTGTTGGTGAAAAGTTGGATCGTAAGCTCCCTCTAATCTTCTTTCTTTGACTCGAATAGTTTGATTTAGTTCTTTTTTTTTGTGGAAAGTAATTTTGTATTGAAAAGAGGTCTAAGTTTACAAATCGTTCTTATCGTAGTTTCATTCATGGATTCTGTGTCAGAGATGCATGGGAACAAATATTGAACAGTGGAACTTCTGCATCTTCTCTTCATTTTTTGTCTGATATAACAGTATTGTCAAAGCATCAATTAGTAAATTGACTGGTCAATCTAGGGTTCATACTGACTGCTTCACTAACTAGTTGGTCAATAGACTCAATCCTAATGATGTGGTCACCTGGGACAACCAAGCTTCAACTAGGTAACTAGGTCAACTAGTTGACTGATGTCTAGTCGATCTAGTCAAAAGTGAGGTTACTTAAAAACTTATATTTGTTTGGGTTTATCTGTAATTATTTAAATAGTATTATATATGCGTTTATTTTTTTGTGATAGATAAAATTCAATTGATTTCATTAGAAGCAAATGATAAAATGTTCGTTACAAGCATCCCAAAATAAGGCGTGAGGTGCAGCCTCACTCATTGGTACGAAAGCATCATAAATTTACAATTGAGCCCAGTACCTGTTCCCTAGTTACCCCTTGTTTAGCTAGAGAGTCAGCAAAAGCATTTGCCTCCCTCCCCACCCACTGTATAGTTACCTCCATCTGCTGAGTTAACCATTTGAATTTCTTCAATTCATTTCTGTAAGCCTAGATCACTGAATCTGGGTTTTTTAGCCAACCCACCACCACCTTGGAGTCCCCTTCTATCACCAAATTTTCCAATCCTATCTCTCTTGCAATCTGTACACCTTGTATGGCTGCGTACAATTCTGCCTTTAAAGAGACTCCATTCCCCACCGGTCCTGGGAAGAGTGCTCTTAATTTCAGAAATCCTTCAATGGGAGGAGCCCAAACCAACCTTGCCTTAACCTTCTGCATTGAGCTAGAAGCCACTAATGGCCAATTCCTCCAAATATCATCAAATGTGAAATTTTTGAATAGTTCCACCGTTTGTAGCCAGTGTATAACCCTAGTCATTACACATCCAATATTTAAAAATTGTATCTAGAATAACTGGAAAAGTGGAAACAAGACCAGATATAATTTGCTCATTATGAGCAAATCCAAAATCAATCTAGTGGAGACGGGATGGGGCCTGTAGCTCAGAGCGATTCACATGGTATCATCAAATGATACAAGTCTTGGATAAGAATCTACAATGCACTAGAACGCCCTTGTCATTTACTCCTTTCTTTCTCTTGGAAAATTCTGGCATTTCTTTCTTCCCACAAGATCCACGCCATTGCTGCTCTAGTGTACCTCCATGTTACTCTTCCCCTCTTCTTCGGTAACACAAAGGTAGGTGGGTCAAACAGCATTTTTATCTCCGTTGGCATTTCCACCTGCACCCAAACAAAGAGAAAAACCAATCCCATATATCTGTAGCAAATGAATAGGAAATTAGTAAATGGTAACACGTAACAAGATTCACCATCAGATTTGCAGAGTGCACCAATTCGGGGAAATACACAGAAAAGGCCTCTTCTTTTGCAAATAATCTAGAGTATTAATTTTCCCAAGAGCCACTTCCCAATAGAAGGCCTGAATTTTAGGGGGAATCAACGGAAACCACACTTCTTTCCAAGGAAAGGACAAAGAGGAAGAGGACTGACAAAGAGCTTTAAAAAAGGAGGCACAAGAAAAAGAACCTTTAGAACTTGGGAACCAAATTCTTCTCTGGACAAGAAAGCTCTAAGCAAACACCATCAAGGAGAAGGAGAAGCTCTGACAGACAAGTTGCTTCCTCATCCCTCAAACCCCTATGAAATCCGAGATCCCAATTAAGACTCAAAGGCAGAAGGAAGAACAAAAAAATTTGAAATGACCTTATTTTTACACAACAAAATAGAATACAAAGAAGGGAAAACCTCCTTTAAAAGGTCGGTCACCAAACCAAGTGTCTTCCCAAAAACGAATTAAATTCTCTGAGCCAATAACATACCTGATGTACCTAAGAAACTGAGGGAGGAGGCTATGAATTGCTTTCCAAGGTGCTGCCAAGGTAGCCCTATGCAATACACCAGTGTCCCAGCCATTCTCCAATCTACCATGTATACTTGCCACTATTTCGACCCACAAATTTTCTCTCTCAAGAGGCCATTTCCCTAACAAAGTTGTATTCTTCGTCCTTACATTCCCTAGACCTAAACCACCCTCTACCTTTCTTTTACACACAACCTCCCATTTTATTAAATGGTCCTTTCTAGTCTCTCTCGTCTCTCAAGGGAAATCCCTTACATTTTTTTCTAATTTCTTTTCTTCTCTTCGTGGAATCCTAAAGACAGAGAGAAAGTAGATGGGTAGGTTAGCCATAGTAGATTTTATTAGCGTGATCCTACCTCCCAAAGAGATATAACTCCTTTTCCAAGCAGCCAATCTCTTTTTACATCTTTCTATAACTGAGTTCCAAAACCTACTTTCCTTCGAGTTTGCACCTAGGGGAAGCCCTAGGTAGGTTAGAGGCCACGAGGTGATATGGCATTCTAAGCAATCTGCTATCCTATGTAGGACCATCCCCTCCATATTAATCCTTGCTATGCAACTCTTGTCCAAATTGATTTTCATATTTGACACTTTTTCAAACTCCTTGATTAGATTTTTCAATCTCTCGATTTTCCTAATGTCTCCTCCTTCACAAAAAATAATGATATCATCTGCAAATTGGAGATGAGTAAGTGGGACATTGTCTCTACCCACTCTCCAACCCCTAAATTCATCTTCTCTATCTGCCTTAGAGATAATTCTACTGAAGACAACTGCCACTAAAGTAAAAAGGAAGGGTGATAGGGGATCACCTTGCCTTAATCCTCTGCAAGCTGGGAAGAAGTCTTTTACCACTCCATTAACAAGGACAGAAAAATGACAAGATCGTACACACCCAAGCATCCAATTGCACCATCTCTCCCCAAACCCCCGTTGATGCAGAACTTCTTTCAAAAAACCCCAATCCACCATATCGTAAGTCTTTTCTAAGTCCAATTTGCACACAAAACCTTCCTTCCTAGATCTCTTTATATCCTCTACACATTCATTGACTATTAGAATTTGATCAACTATTTGTCTCCCTTGAACAAAAGCTCCTTGATACCAACTAATGAGGGAAGGGAGAATTACTTTGATCCTCGATTATAGGACTTTAGCAATTATCTTATAAACACTAGTCACTAGACTAATGGGTCGGAAATCCTTTGGATGGCTAGCATCACCTTTCTTTGGGATCAAGGCCAAGAAAGTTGCATTAACTCCAGGGCTAACAATATGTGTATTTGAGAATTCCTTAAAGACTTTCAGTAAATCATCTTTCAACACTTTCCAACAATCCTGATAGAAAGCCATTGTGAATTCATTTGGGCCTGGTGCTTTAGACCTATTCATGGAGAGCATTGCCTTTCTTATTTCTTCTTCCCCAAAACCTCTTTCCAACCAATTTGCTGCCTCATCTAGTAAAGGCCATTCCAAACCTTCTAAGCTCAACCTATCCTCCAAAGGTCTCCTGTAAAGGGATTTAAAGTGGTCCACAAAGACTCTAGCAATTTCATCTTGATTTGAGATCAGCTCTCCATTGATTTCCAACCTAGCCACAAAGTTTTTGCGCCTTCTTCTATTGGCGATCGCATGAAAGAATTGTGTATTCCCATCCCCTTCCTTTATCCATTTTTGCCTTGACTTTTGTCTCCAAGATATTTCCTCTCTTGAAGACTTCTTCCAATTCTTTTTTTGATTTCCATCTTAAATCCATCTCATCTGCACTGAGATTTCTCTCATTTTCCACATTGTCCAACTCTTCAATCTGGGAAATTAGAGTCAGTTTCCTTTCTTCTAACCTTCCAAAATGATCCCTATTTCACTCCTTTATTTTAGATCTTAATCTTTGCAATTTCTTATGGAATTTGATTCCTTCCCACCTTATTCTTCTTAGTTCCTCCTTCCACCAATCCTCCACTTTCCAAATAAAATCCGGATGCGCCAACTACATGTTTTCAAATTTGAAAGGAGCAGGGCCATGTAAGAAGATTTTTGTTCCTAATCTAATGGGGTGGTGATCTGAAGTGACTCTAGGCAAGGTCCTAGAAACCAAACCTTCCCATTGATTTTCCCATCCTCTATTGAACAGAAATCTATCCAGATTTGAGCATAGTGGGTTTTCCTGAAAATTGGACCAAGTGAAATTGGAATGCAAGAGGGAGATCTCCTTCAATTCACACAAGTCTATGAATTCATTAAATTTCCTTGTACTAGTGGTGATAGACTGATTGGGATTAGAAGTTTCATTGGAAAATCTTACCACATTGAAGTCCCCTCCCAACACGAAGCACCTTCCCACAAACCCCAAATTGCATACAGTTCCTCCCACATATCACTTCTCTCTCTATAAGTATTTGGTCCATAGACATTAGTTAACACCCAATTGAATCCATCCTCCACACTTGAATTTTACTGATATAGTATACCTACCTATCAATTCTTCCATTGCTTCATGCACTTCATCCTTCCACAAAATTACTATACTCCCTGAAGCCCCCCAAGATGGAGCCTCAACCCATCTTATTCCTCTCGCTCTCCACAAACTACTGATCAGCCTTG